AAATGTTTTGCCTATGTGGTCAACTTAGATGGAGAGAAAACTTTACTATTATATATATAGATATACTAAAAGACACTCCTCCTTAAACAAAAATAAAAGATAAAAGAACATGACCACACCCCTGGAAAATAATTTTAGTATTATCAATTATGCAATTTAAATTGAAAGATAAAAGAATAAAAAAATTCTCCTGAATCTTGATTATACAAGCACAAAATATTGATGTGTTAACACAACACATTTTATATTTCTTTTTCTATATACCTTGGGAAAACAATTTGTGATTTTTTTTTATTTTACAATCACTGTTACCTAGATAAAAAAACAAAACAAAAAAAATTGTATAGGATGTTGTTGAATTTGATAAATAAAATATCTATTTTCTATACATAAATTTACATAAAAATTACATAATTGTACACAAAACATTTAATTTTAATTTGTTAGAATTAATTTACATAAGAATTAGCTATTGAATTGTTAGAATTAATTGTTAAAGTTATTAAAAGATACTTAAGTTTTTTTTTTCAATAAATAAATTTAAAAGACAAACGTCAAAAAATTAGATAACACATGGCAGCCTCTCGTGGTTTGAATTTTGAGAAACCTTACTATATTATATAAGATTAATATATGAGAGTTAGTTAGAGAGTTGGTTAGTATTAAGTTTTCTTTAGCTTAATGCTAAACTAGTATAGATAACAACACTTGTACGTTCTTTTCTTGTTAATGAGAAATTCCTAAAGTGTTAATATATATACCGTCCCAAGGCCCAAACATCTTCTTAAACTGGATAACAAAGCAAGTAATATCTTCTAAAAATAAGGTGTAATAAATTGTCTCTGTGTAGCCTTGTCACTTGACGTAACTCTCTGTTGCAAAAGGTGAAAGATGTGCCCAACTTTATGTAAATTAGTACACGCTTGTAGTAGTGTGTACATATCACATGGCAAACATCAGGTACACCGGAGATGCAAAGAAGATCGACGTAGATGTCTAGGCAGTAAGAACAAGACAAAAGAATTATGAGAGTGGTTACCGTCAAGAATTTAGTACAGAAAAAGTAAAAAATAATGTACACTTTGATGTAAAATGGTGCTAATGTATGTACATGAGTGTGATGTACAAAACGAGTTAGCGATGTATACTTAACACTAAAGATGTACATCGAATATGTTATTGACGTACACGCATCCGTTATTGACGTACACCAATGATGTCAGTCCAAGTCTCACTAATGTACACAGTTTCCGATGATGCACACCAAGTTTTGGTTGAAGTCACCTACACTCAGTAAAACCACACATAAACGTACATCTGTAATCACAACTATACGGTATACGCATACGTACACCATATACCCATGTAATTTCAACGCATGCATGTACACTGTTTGAGTGTACGTATACGTGCACATGAATATCATTTACTATTCGTGTACAATCAGTTCGAGATGTACGAGGTTAGTGTAGTGAGTGTATATGACGGATGACACGGGTTTATATGACTTTTTGTACATGATAGTGTTTATATGAGTTTATATGAGTTTGTGTCCTTGATAGTGTACGTACATCTCTTATTGAGAAGTCAAATCCATATTAAATGCATGAAATCTGACAAAAAAGCAGGAGCATTTTCTGGTATGTGTACATCATACGATAAATGTACGAAAATAAGTTTCATGTATGTTAATATGTACATGTCTCATATGGGTATACCATATAATCCATCTATCTATGTACACATGTTATCCAGCATTAAATGTTTTGCAGCTTTTTCGCATTTAATGGTATTATGCACACTCCTACACACATTCACAAAGGGTAATGTTGTGTAAGTGACATTTATATAATTAAAAACATGTGACATTTTGTGTAATTATAAACTCAAAATGTGATTTTTTCAGACATTTACCCTAAAAATTATTGTCTTGTATTATCTTGAAATCTGAAATAGAACGACGAAAACCTTATTTTATTTCATGCATCGTGTACTTAGAAAACACACATAAACAACAACAAAGGAGACTAATACAGAATCATATATATGAAAGCAACATAACCAAACTTGGACTGAGGATAGTTCACTCGATAATGAAGCTAGCTATGGATCTTCACTCGGTGATGAAAATGACATGGACCCCAATCTGATGAAGCATATTACTGGATTTTCCATGGAACCCGGTGATCTTGTGACCTTCTTTCTGGAGGACAAAGTTTGAAGCACTTTCGAGTCCAAAGGGTGGAGATGTGCGTTTGTTTGTCTTGAACTTAAGCATGGTTATAACTCCAGTTTCAGCTCCCATAAATTTATTGTGACAACCTTCCACTGATGTGATGTATTCACTCGGATAATCCAGCTCGAACTATGAAATGCAAGAAAAATTGTTAGGAATCTCATGCGTTGAAAAGTGTAAAATATTTTTAGTATATTAGACTCATAAATCGGTCTACTCATTTTCCAATTGGTTTTTAGATAGAAAGAAAAAAAACTAAAAAAACTTATCGAAGTAAAAGAGAGTAATCATCACCTCGTTGTATCCAAGCAATGTCTGCTTTCCATGTTCATCTCCCACAACCACTTCACTGGCGTCGTTCTCGTACTCAAACTTAACGGAGACGATACCATTTTCGCTGTGGCCTACATATATCTTCTTCACATTTAGGAACGCACCATCGTCCCAAGATTTTCCTCCCTGACCACCTTGTGCCTCTAGTTTCTTTGGAGGAGGAAGAGAAGGAGAAAACGGAGCGTAATATGCACCAATACTATCAACACAAGCACCAACCCTTCCATGGAGCCCAACAATAGCATTGCCTTCACTCTGCAGCACGAACTTGGTACCAGTAGCTGTTCCAATTGATGAGGTTCTCCCTTTTGATGTTGTAAAAGTCAACGATCTAAGGACAATACATCCATAAGGTTGGGTATCCGCGTAGCTTCCTCCTACGGATGTGATATATTCATATGGATAATTCACCGTAAACTGTACATATAATAACAAATAAAAAGTTTAGTAAATGTGGATAGTAACAACATCTAGATGCGAAATAATAGAGCTAATTACACTACAAGAAAACAGCCACTATTCCGACGGAAATTCCGACGGCCAATATTTCCGTCGGAATTTTCCGACGG